GTCCTGGAGAGGATGCCTTCTGCCAAGGGCAGCGTGGGGGGACGCGCCGGTCTTTGGGAGGGCTGCCAAGGCAGCGTCTGTCTGCATCTCCTCGTCCTGCAGCCAGCGCTTTGATGGAGTGGTAGTGACCAGTCCCACTGGTGCTAACGAGATGTCCGCATCCTTAGCCGACCTTGGGAAAGACTTCCAAGCTGAAGGTGAGACGTTAACAGCACCTCTGAGAAACAGCTCCCATATGCACAGCGTGCAGGCAGGCTCCGCTTGCTGAGGCTGTTGAAATAGATCTTAAGCTTGGAAAAAGACAAATGTCTGTCCTTTTTTTACAGGCTGTACATCCCGCTTCCTGGTGAGACCCAAGCTGTACGCACGCCAGGGAGGCAGCTATGAACTGTAAAAGTCTTCGCAGAACAGCTCTTTTCTAAGAGGGTAAGACTGATAGCTAGAGATACAGTTAAGTGGCCTACCATCTCCCCCCATCATGTTGCAGCTTGCACTATATATGCATCCGATTTAAAGAAAAGTAGTGCCTCTTTTTATCAAGCAGGCTTGATAAAACAACAATAACGTACATTCAGTTATATCTCTGCTAAACATATCCTTTTTTATTGCTTTTCGGGAGTTCAAAGCGTTAGCATAAAACAATCGAGGAGGTTGTTTTTCCTAAGAGAGCGAGTGCCTGTTTACAAACTCATTTTATTTTCACAATATTCCATTGTTATTTATTTCAGACAGAAAGCTGTCAGGTTAATGCACTCCCTCATGCAGGACAGCTTGCTTTATTGCCTGTTATTAAGATATAAAATATATAACCTGACAGGCACTGCCCACGTCTGCATTCTACCAGTGAAAGGCAAATTAAGTAGAAAATGGAGATCTCCAGTATTTCTTTGGGCTAAAGTGATATTAGTTTTTAACTCATTTTGTATTCATAGAGGATCCTGCATGTTTGCAACATGTCCGACACAGTAAACTGTCCAAAGTTTTGTTTTTGTTTTTTTTTTTAATTCTTGTACTAGCTATCTCTGAGAAATTCAGACTTCAGAAGCATAGGAGAAGTTATCAAGTCAAGACCCCTCGTATAAACAGTTGTCAGGAAAGAATGAAAAAGCCCACGTTACTCAGGTGGCACAAGAAACCCTTTAGAAAGCAAATACTGGGGGAATAGTGATGCAGGGTGAGAAACTTTAAACCCATGCCTAAAATAACCCAACAACCAACCCTCATCCTCCAGACCTTCAAATCCCAAACCACAGCACTGCTGTCGCCTCGGGTACCGGCTTCCAGCGAAAGCCGTTACAGCTTCCAGAGCAGGCACACACAGCTGCAAACATGTATTTTTTTTTAAGCTGTATCAAATTCCTTTTTCTTTGGTGTGCGTATCCAGCTGGCGGCAGGACTCTTGTATCCTTTCTCCTTTTCACAATGACGGTTTGAGTCATTGTCCAAAAAACCCCAGCGAGTCGCCCAGTTGTGTGTTGTACCAACAGTTTCCAGCGAAACCCCTTGGAAGCCTCCGCCACGATGCCGCTACGGGTGCTCGCCCGCCTTGCAGCACCCACCTCTCACCCTGTGTCCCGTGGGGAGCCGGAGAAAGGCCGGGCTCGTGCCTCCGGGGGTTCGTCTTCCCCGCTTCCCCCTGCTCCTCCTCTGCCTCCGCCCAGCTTTTGGCTTTGCTCCTTGGTGCCTTCAGCATTCCTGAGCAGCTTGGAGGAATACAGCTCCATTTTGGGATAGGGTATTAAAAAGCATACGCTTTACAATAGTGCTTGCCTAAAAACGATGACTCAAGCCGACTATTGTGTCTTACTGGATTTCAAATAATAGCAATTGTAAGTGACGAAGTGTTGGCTATTTTTGGTGCTTGCAAAAGTGGAATGGCAGAAACACCTTCCCCATCACCCACAGTTCCAGTCATACAAGTGATGTTATTCACATTTTTCCTTATCATTTTTTTCTTTTTCTTTCTTTTTTTTCTCCCCAGGACTGAATTGCTGAACTTGGTTAGTCACAGAAGCTGCTCTGGAAAAGCCTGCAAGAGGTAGGCTGGCTCAGGGACCTCTCACCTTAGCCCTTACTGGCTCTCCACCTTTTCCTCCTATACTTTCCCAGTAACAACTTACTTGTTTTTTTTCCATCCCTCCCTGGAGAATCAAGTCAGTTTTATTACCACAAATAAACATTAACTGAATTAACATGAGATGAGGAACAAACAGAGGTCAGTTTAAAGGAAGACTAGTCTGAACACTGGGGGAAATACAGAGCAAGGCGGGGGTCCACCTACCATCTGAAGGGGAAAACCCGAGTCTTGCCTCTTGTGTATACGCTTGTAAATGTGTTGGGATTATTGTGAACCCTTACTGCAGCATCTGGATCAGCTCCCTCTTAACGCAGGTAGAAGCCATGCTTTAAAAGCTTAAAATATATAGTTCTGTTTTGTCTGTGTTCCCAGTGAGAAGGTTTTAGTGCTAGAAAGCCTCTGGCTTTATGGGAAGCTGCAGCACGTAAGGAATAGGCAATTTGCAGGGGAGAACCGGCCATGCAATTTAATGCTAAATAGTGATATACTAAATAAATTATTATAAAGAACTAACTCTTCTTCAAAATAATTACAGTATTTTTTTTCATTTCAGAGGAGAGGAAACAGCCTAATTAGGTAGAGGGGAAACCAAGCCAGGGAAAGGGAGGTGGCTCTTTGTCCGTCGTGCTGCAAACCTGTGGGCAGAGGTAGAGCGCAGAAGCGGGAGCTGAGGCTTGGGCCCCTGCCCTGTGCATGTCTGACTCCTCTGGAGCAAGACCAGGATGGATTTACATCCTTACTCTGCTTCTCCCTCCTGCCCTGCTTTCTGGAGGAGGCGGCCTGGGTGTACGTGTTAGGATTTTAGTCTTAGGGCAGCAAAGCTACTGTGCGGGAAACCACTCCTATATCCCTGCCACGTGCCAGTTTGCAGATACTACGAAGAACACGGACAAGGATTTTTAGATGCAGTAAATCCCCGTGTGTGCAAATATATAATACGGACAAGCAACGACACTTTGAAATATTCTAGTATCCCGCAATGTAATAAATATTTTATTAGAGTAATAGAAAAAAATGCATACAGATAACCATAGGATACACACACAACTGGAAGTTTAAGGATAAATTTCAAACTTTTCAATATGAAACAAGGTACTCGGTACATATCTCATGGAGATATATAACTAGAAATTAAATAATACAATGTAATTGCATGAAAATGGCAATACAGGAACATGGACTAGAATTTTGTGAAACAAGAACATAAAGAGTCACCCTTTGTTGCATGAAACATAACTATACACTTACTAGTAACACCTGTTTTTCCATCTCCCCCCTCCCCCCACTTGCAAGTGTCTGAAAACATCACTGGTTAGCCACATTGAAAAGCAACTAGCCATTTATAACTATATATGTACAGTATATACAGATCTTGCTTACTTCAACAGTTAGCACGTATTTTCATCTGGATGTGATACTAATAAGGTAATTTGCTATTTGAATGCATATCAGGATATTTTTTCTACAGTGCTACCATCATTTCATTAATCCTGGTTCTCTCCTTTTATAGTTCTGTGTGTTGTAGTAACACTGGGAGATTAAAAAAAAAAAACCTCTTTAAAAGGGTATGCTTTATGTCACATGACCACTTGCTCTACCATGTATGTGTGCAGCTCTCTAAAAGGTGTCTAAAAGGCTGATTTGACTAAACTCACAACTGTAGAAGTCAAATGTACCAGGTTTAATGTATCTTTAATATATTGCTACGAAAGAAAGCATAGATTTCTCTGTAATAGCAAGCCTGAAGTGTATTTGTGTAATTTTTTATTATAACCTATAGTATTGCCATAAACTTAGCAGAATCATATGACAGTAATGGGGTGCATTAGAGTGCCAGACCAGGTAAAATATTTTTGAATTGGTTACAGAGCAGCAGGAAGGAGAGTTATGGATGTAACACTGAATTCAGGATGAGTTTACAGTGCAGTGCGGTAGACAAAAGAGCAAGATAATTTGAGGCTGCATATTTGGAAGCACCACATCACAAAGTGGTAGTAGTCCCTTTTCATAAGGCTATGGTGCAACTGCATTTCAATAATGCTTACAACTGGGCACTTCTGTTAGTGAAACGCACTGGCAGGAGTTCAGAGAAGGGCAATAAAAACCATCCTGAAGGTGGGAGAACCTGGTTATGAATAAAGAACCTGGTTAAGAAATCTAAGGTGGGGATATAAGGAAATTAACTTCGAAGTCTATTGATGGAGAGGAAGGTTAGGTGCTTCAAGAGGTACGTAAATGTCCGCTGCGATAAAACAGAGCGCCTTCTTTGAAACACAGCTGTGAAATCATTTCTTAAGAGTAGTAGTGGAAGCCCTGCCTCTTGGACACCCCAGCGTGGACTGTGCAACACTAGCATCCATACTGTGACTTTTCTCTACCTTCCAGCTTTGATTTCTTCCTAGATTTAGCGTAACTTATGTAAAGGGCTGTAAGAAAACCGATCCAAACCTACTGGATTATGACACTGTCTTAAGAACGGCCACTTGGTCAACGTGTTATCGTCCGATTGAAACGCCGTGTCTCTGGTTTCATCTTTTGCATGTAGAATGATGTTACCGCAACTACGCAGGACATACCCCAGACAACTCAGTGTCACTCCAGAAATGGAGTTTCTCAATGAGCTAAGCTCTTCCTTGTAACTCTGATCACAGTGCCACTGCTCTCCTTCTCTCTTACGTTGTATCTGAAGTATGTAATATGTAAACTCCTTTGGTTCAAGTATTAAGGCATTTTAGATTCCTTTTTAAAGGATTTGCTAAACTTTACATGATATTTTTACTTCAACCTACAGTGAAATATAAAGAATTTAAAAACACGTCAGGATAGAAGAAAAACATGCATTAACCACTGCAGTTTTTTTAAAAAAATGCACTTTTCTGTAGTAACCGATTATTTTTTTTTCCCAGCAGATGAAAATGTATCATCACAACACTGAATTAAGAATCAAGGAAAATATTGTTGGTAAGAAGCTGGATACACTGAAGATGTTCAAGACTGACGGACCAGACCCTCTTGCATCCATACCTGTGACAAATGAAAAAGGTCAGGATTAAATGAAAGCATAAGTATCTGCTCTGTCAAATTATTACTCTTCCTAGATGCTAAGCAAAAATGATTGTAAATTTTTATTTCCGACAAGCAATTAAAATTTACAAAAATACACAAAATGTTTTTAAACTACAGAAATATACTGCAAAATGCTGACGCTGTACGAGTGGTCTTTACTTTCAAGGTAATAATAAAAAAAGGAGAAAAGTAAAAAAAAATCGTAACGTTTTTAATACCAATTTACATGGTAATTATACCAGTTCAATAGAATGAAGTTTGTCATGCATAAGGGCATGAAGACTGTTAATTGCTTTTCTTTTTATTACCTTATTACCATACAACATACAAGCATTAAGTCTTTTTTTCTCCCCATCAATAAGGACTCAATTCCTGCAAAGACACGCTGCGACAACTGCTGGGTGTCAACTGTAAATTTAGTAATGATTCATTACGCTAAGGCAGAGACATGTCTCTCTATACCGTGGCTGGTATAACGGAGGTTCCGATATTCGCTGGGGACCCTGTATAAGCACGTGACAAAATAATAGTGATTCAGCTTCAACCTACTAGCTAGCCTGGGAATCAGGATCTGATCGCTGCTAGTGCCATCTCCGCCATCACTTGTTGCTTTAACTTCTATAGTGTAATCTTTGTTAAACTGCAGCAGAAGTTCAGCGGTTGTCTTGTTCGTGTTCAGCACGCTCATATTGGTCTGACTGCTGGTCCTGTACAAAACCTGCAACACAAGCAAAGAGCTGTAGTGCGTCATTTCTTCCGCTAGGACCTGCCCTGCAATTTTTGTTTGTGTTTCTTGGAAACAAGGTTTCAGTCTTTAAAAAGACGGGATGAGAGAAAAGATCTGATTTTTGGTTAATGTTCTAGGGCAGAATTACATTTAAAGAAAGAAGGTAACATCAATCAAGCTCTTTTATTCCAGCTGTAATCTAAAAAGGCACAATGTATAATGATAACAAATCAATAATGTATTCTGTTGAGTGTCCTAATAATATATTGTTCTATAAATTATCCCGCCATTTGGAATCTGTCATTATCTAGATCAGCTTCTTATGCCAATACGTAGTTTGGGAAGGAGAGTACTAATCAAAATTACAGACTATGTTGGAAGATGTTCTGCAAGTGCAAGTGCTGAGTGATTATTCTGTCATGAAACTTAACTGCATTCCGTCTCCTATGTTTTAAAGAATGGGAACTACCTTTGAATGTCACAGCCCGCTGCTCAGTATGATCGGGCAAGAGCGAGGGATTTAAGAGCAACATCAGCCTCTCTTTTGTCCTGAAGGCTTGACGAGCCTGAGGAGTCCCTAGTGCCAGTGGCGAGGCTAGGCAGAGAGGTATGTCCTGGCAGAGTTTAAAAAATATGTGGATCCAGTGCCTTCACCTGGCAGAGTTTCACAGATTTGACAAGCAGGTAAGCTTGGGAGTTTGGCAGTGCAAAAACCAGCAATCCCAACTCCCCCAAAACAACGGCAATAATGATGAAATGGAAAAAAACTGCAAGGCCACTAGAATTACACGCATGCTGCCACCCTCGAGACATGCTCCCTAATGCCATGCCTTGCTCTAAAATGCTCTCGGAGGGGCACAGATGCTCTGGTGTTTTCAATGTCACTTGTTGGCTCTTCTCTTCTTGGCATACCAACTTTAGCTAACTGTACTGCCCTTGCCTTTTGGGATAAAAACGACCCCCTAAGTGCTCTCCTTCAGTAAAATTAACCAGCATTATCAAAATTCAGCTTATCCTTGTGTACTTAGCAATGTCCGTTATCCATCTGGGAACCTGAAATCATTGTGGGAGACGCAGTATGCAGTTTGAAACTCCACGTGGTATGTTTTTAGGTCAGCTACCATCTATGAAACTAGGTGGCTTATCTAAGCTGTAAATGCGTATTTCTTGCCAGTACAACTCAGAACACTGCATAGTCAGATCTTCAGCATAAATCTTTTATGGAGGACGTGGGATCCAGCTGTACGCAGCTCATCAAGAGCATCCTCAGCTATTCTCTTAAATGTACTTAAGATATATGACATATTTAAATACCTGTACATTTGTGCACTGATCAGATTTGGAGTAGATGTAGCAATGTAATTTCTATCAAGACAATGAGCATGTCCCACAGTAGGTAAGAAGAAAAAGGGTTAAGAATATCAGTTTGATATAGGTGGTACTAATAAATATACGTGGCCAGCAATGGAAACTATACCCATCAGCTAAATCTCGGATTATATGTTATGCATTCGGGTAAGTAAGTGTTATAGTAAGTGTTGTACATGTGTTAAGTGTTACACATGTTCTAACATCCAAGTGTTATACGTTTGGATAAGTGGGATCCCAAGAGCTGGCAGCAATGCCTGCAGTTCCTGCCTTTGTTTGCGTGAGGAGGAGAAGGCATTTAGTGTACTGTTAATGGTGAAAGGAGCCAGTTCATGAGACATTGTTAGAACATGATTTACATCTCTAAAAAGGAGACACTACTGAGATGGCTTAGATAGGCTACTGTGCATCCGCTGAACTTACTGCCTTGCAAATAGACAAGAAAAAGCAACCTGTGGATTGCTTTCAGGTATTTTTCTGGTCTGTTTTTACTTACCTTATACCCAGTCACCTCGGACTCGTTCTCCATAGCTCTTACATCCTCCCAGCTGAGGACTACTCTGGAGTCGGTGACATTCCACATAACGTTTCCTGGTGGTTGACTGGGTGCTTCAATACATAACAAAAGCATGACTTTAATTTAATTGGCATTAGTGATTTATTCTACAGTAGGAAATAATAGTTCAGGTAATTGACTGTCATTACATGTCAGATGCAAAAGCAACTCAAATGCAGCCTCGTTGTTTGTAGACTTTATGGTTCAGAAACTAAATTGGAAAAACAGAAGGAAGGAAAAATAGAATGGCCCATAAATGTTATTTCTGAAGTTGCATTATCTGTTGATGGTCCTTCATTAAATACAGCCAAACGAAAGCATATGTCTTAGGACATGGGTGATCAATTAGAACAACCTCTAATGAAACCAATGATGGTAACAGACAATTTCTAGTTTTAGTATGTTGCCAAGAATGAGCAAATTCTTCACAATAATTTGTTAGACAAATTTAGTCTTAGTGAATATTCAGATCTACACACTATACTGATTTACTTTAGTGTGTTTGTAATGTAAAAATATTTGCCAGATTTTTTTTGTTGTTGTTGTTCTTTTAACTCGAGGTGTGATTTTGAACTGCAGCCTGTGCCATTTCAGTATCTGCAGTTGGAACATTCGTGGGCTTTGGTCAAGGTAATCTATGGGGGTTTTTTTGTTCATTAACAATCTGAGACTGTTATTTTCTAAAGGAGTAGTATGCTTTTGGCTGTATGCTTTAATATATCTTGAAACTGCCAAGCTTTCAGGGAAGGCGAAGGTAAGTACAAACCTCTTAAGATGCCTGAAGTTGGTTTTGCAGAAAATGGGTCATGCAGTGACACAATCAACGATTAAAATCTTTTTGAAATGTATTAAGGAAAACAATTTACTGTTGCTGTCACCTAGTGGAGGCAACTGCTGCTTAGGTGGACCGCGCTACGCTTTGATGCTGAAGGTTCCAGTATTAAACACTGACAGTGGTTTTAAACGCTCCTATGCACGTGCTTATGGTTTTTTTTTCTCTTTTTTTCCTCCTCTTTTATTTTTAAACTCTTTCACACAGGTAGCTCCCTACCTTCTTTCCATGAGCAGTCAGATCAAAACCCACCTGATTATACTCCTTAACACAAAGTAGACACGAAACTGTAAGAGCGAGACTTAAAAGAATTATTCTAAAGTCAAACAACCTCTCACAGGTATTTTTTTGCAGTATTTGCCTTATTCTATATACTAAACAGGATTTAACCTGATGCACTAATAGCCACTTTTTGTAAATGTAAGAGGAGATTGTTTTACTCCTGAGAATTAAGTATTACAGCATATATGAATAGTTTTCACACTGAGCTATTAAAGCTGAATTTCAAAAGAAATGAGTCATTCGTTTAAATCTACAACAAAATATTAATATGACATCTGAAAAAATGAAGAATAATTATATGTAAAAACTGTAAGCCTCTATCTACTACTTGACTTATGGAAGCGATTCAGATGGCTCCAATTCACTTCAGATGCCAAAATCTCCGCTAATCCTGAGTGTTGAGAACTGCAGAACTTAATTTGTAACAGGTTAGTAGGTGTCCAGCGCTAAGCGTGCGAATAGCTACACGGATTTCTCTGAGACTCCTCAGATGCTTAAAGCTGGTCATATACCCTAGTATTGCTCTGAATTAGAACCGATGGACAGAACATTTGGTTGCATTTCAAGACTTTCTAAGTATGAAATAATTGTAACATCTTGCTTTACAAACTTAGGCCGGTCTTCCCCCGTTACTTGCAATTTCATATAGCAATATTTTATAAAACAAAACTACACTTGTTATTTTGGGCTATGAACATGAATATTTCAAATAGAAAAGCAAAGATACTTTGTCAAAGACAAAGACCGAATTTTCAATCTTGAAATATACTGCCAATTGAACCTCTGTATTTGTGTTTCTTGATACGGCTAATAGTTACTAAGTATCTTGTAGGTCATGTGGATGAACATAAATACAATGTGCACAGAAATCCTTCACAGTGAAAAACATATCAATCACAAATATTCAAGTTAAGGCAGAAACTGGGAATGATTAAAAACCACACGTTTGAATGAAAAAACAGTTTCTACTGCAGCAGTACAGAGAATTATTTGTCTTAGTCAATCCAGCCAGTAGTTAGCAAAATCCTTCAGACTGACATTATACTGTACTGCAATGTTTTTGCTCTCTTTATTCACCAGCAAGATACGTGGATGTAAGGCAACTAATTTTTCTTTTTAATTATTCCAAATAGCAGTGATCTTGGCTAAGGGCCTGATCCAGATCCTGTTCAAATCAGTGGGATCAGGTGCCTGTCCAGCTCTCAGGCACACATCCCAAAGGCAGGTGGTCACTACAAAAGGACTGAAAGTTCACTGAGCTGACCAGGCTGGCGCAACCTCTAGTGAGCAGCCAGGAGGCACAAAGATGATTAATTAGAGAAAACTATTCATCACGCGTCAGGTACAGGCTACAGGCAGCAAGTTCTTTCCTACCAGCCAATTCATGGTAACTATGCATATAATATATTTAAACTCTAGCAAATATAAGTTAATCTGAGTTGGTTTAGTCCTCAGTGACAGTGCGACTCATTTTCGCATGTAATAATTTCTGATAAACTAGCTTATTTCAAAATATTGACAATGCAACTACTCTTGGTAGAAAGATGTTAATGACTGTTCCAGGGAATTTGACCTTTCAGACAGATGTGTAATCGTATGTTCTTGTGAGTCTGACAGAAATACTTCAAGGTTGATGACCCTGATTCTGAATTGTATTACAATGTAAGAGCATACTAAAAATATTTCAATTTGTAGAAAAATTAGTGCAGTCTTTGACAATCTGTTCTCCAGCTTAATTTCTCCTTTTTAATAGCAAAGTGGCCTCTTGTGCAATTTGTTCAAGGGGAAACAATGGACATGAAGGATTGTTTTGCATGAATTGTATGAGGATCATTGCATTTCAAAAGCCATGCCCTAGGGAACTTATAAATATGTTCTAAAACCCTGAAAAATTCAACAAGTCTTTGGTTTTTTTCATTCTAAATAACAGAAATTTTTCTTTTAAAATTCTTCCAGTCACTAGAAGAATAATAAAAGTTCTATGCAGAAATTATATATCTTACTTCAGCTCCACTGACATACTTGAGTTTTACTTACTCATCCTGCTAATGTAGCAGAGGGTAGAAAATGGAAGATCTATGCTCGATTTAATTGTGTAACTCCTCTAGTCTGAATGAAAATTTAGGTCGCTTATGCATAGTGTGATTCCCAGTAATGCGCCTATTTTTCACTTCCCTGCAAATGCTAACGCACCATTATGTCTCTCCCCACTTTAAATTCAAGATACTTACGTGTCTTTTTTGTGGTAGCATTTACTGTGGCACTAAAGGGGCCTGCTCCAGCACTGTTATAAGCACGGACAGCTGTGTAGTATGCTAAGTTGCTCTTCAAACCTGTTATTCTTACTGATGTCTCATTCCCTGCAGCTTTTACTCTGTTTGAAGATTCTTCTTTTCCACCATTATTCCAGTACCTAACCTAGTAGATACAAACCAAAACCATTTAAAATCTTGCATGGAATGGACTGTTCACCCACAGCATTGCATTTGACTCCTTTAAGTGCATTTTTTCCTCAGCTGAAAAAGGTGGAAATACATTAAAGTTTCAGAAATATGTTTACTATGTAAAAAAAAAAAAAAATTATCTATCTGCCTTTCATGCTTGCTGCTCTTTTTAGTGTGACTGTAGGAAAAAGGCAACTGAAATATTAGCTCTTGCTTGAATTAAAAAATGACAAGAAGAAAATCATTACTTCATCTAAAAAGTAAACAAGTTAAAACTCAGAAAACTGTATCTTACAGAACAGTTTCTTTGGAAGTAAATGTAATTCTGAAAAATACGTCAGTTTGAAAATACTGTCGGACAGACACATGACTATCAGCACAGGAGGCAAAACACAATTTCATTCTGTGTTCTCCATTTTCAAAGATATTTAAAATAAAATGTCCTTCTTTTTGGTGTAGGTAGCGCAGAAAGAAAGCAAGATATGCAGTATACTGTCTTTTGTAAATTATGTATTTCTAGAGTCTAACACTACAGCTGTTCGCTTTTATTTTGAAATATTTTTATGAAAAAATCCAGTTTAACGGATTCTTGATTTCTGAACAGTTGGAAAATTTCTGGGGAGAAGGATTGGGCTGGAGACATCACTCGTGTCTTGAAGTCCCAAGTCCTTCAGCCCATCATCAGAGGGTCTTGCAGAACATCCTCCCCACAGCCTGGCCTGCATTCACAAAACTCCCGGTACTGGCCCAGACCTTGTGCCAAAAGCCACAGCTATCAATTGCTCCCAGAGAAGAGCAACGATGACAACATTCCCCATACTCTGGGGTCCTGCAGAAGTAAAACACCCTTTGGGTCAAATGCTGTCCAGCAGCCTGCCCAGCCCTTCTGGGTCGTCGCCCTTTACAATACCAATACTGGGAGTGTATTTTAAATGAGCTCACCTCGTAACCCAGTAACCTTCCACTGCTCATCTTCCAGGGAATGGCTGTCCAGGAGACCTCGATGACTGAGGACGACAGACTCGTCGCAGATACCCCAGAGGGTGCTATGCTAGGCTCTGTATTCGGAAATCAATAAATGAGAGAGCAGCAGCATTGGCAACTGTGGAACTAAACACGTCTGTATTCAAAGTGATCTCATTTCTATTAACTGTGGCTATATTCTCTGATGAAACATCTCATGCTTAATATCTGGAGGTAACTCAATCAATCTGGAGGTCACTCAATCACATACCTTCTTCAGCTGAAAAAACTGTGGTTACTGAACTAAATGGCCCTTCTCCTTTATTGTTATAGACACCAACTTTGACTTCATATGGCGAAAAGGGCAAGATGCTTTCATTCCTAAAGACATATCTTGGTGTGTCAGGAGAGGTGACCACAGTCTGTATCCATGTTGTGGTGCCAAAGGGGCGGAAAGCAACAACATAGCCAAATCCTTCTCCGTTCTGTAATTCTTCAGGGATGGGCTGTGAGAAAAGCAACAGACGACAGAAGTCTGTGATGCTGCATACAGCACTGGACAAGTTTTGCAGGAAGAAAGTACCAACAGACTAACATACGTGATTGTAATCAGGTTCTGGTACTGAATTTGGGATCATTCCATCAGCAAATTAACTCTGGTACAGCAGAGTAAACCGTGTTCCTTTGAACCCATTTTAAGGTTTGCACTTCAAGAAGAGAACAACTTTCAGGTACATTCCTTGTTTTCCACTAAGTACACTGCTTTAAGACATACAATTTTTTTTCTATTTCACAATCCATAGTTCATAAAAAAATAATAATTGCTTAGTCAACTATTATAGAATCCAGTACTACCTTTGTACAGTGGCTTATTATACCTTCCTCTGATGCGGTTATGATTAGGTAACCACACGGAGCAGTCAATGTTAGTAACAGTATCTGAACCTTTTTTAACTCGTTAAAAACAAGATACATAACATGAAGTAGTATGCGATTGTTTCTGTTGGCTAGCACACTCATCCAGAATTAGTGGTAGGAAAGCAAGAACTGCAAATTTGCACTGAAACGCATAATTCTTTGGCTCAGCCTTTGAGCAACACCCCTCTTCCCCTGCCCTCCTGCCCCCTTTTTAGCGTAACACTTGTTTGAGAACAGAAGCAATCTCAGACAAACGAACTAAATTTCCTACTGATTGGCATCTAGCACAGTAGGAAAAGCAAAAGAAACACATGAAAGCAAAAGAGGGAAGGCAAACGTGCATAGCTCACATTACAGAATGTTACCGAGCACATATACATCCTAGATGAGAAGCTGCTGCAGCCAGGGAAATTCATCTTTTAAGAAGAGTTTGAATGAAAACAATCATTCTCTGAAGAAAATTGCTTGCCAGAAAACTTACATCCCATGTTATGACCAGTTCAGACCTGCTGCCTCCTCCCCCACTGACTTCAGAGGGGGGAATTTCAGGAACTGTGAAAAGGAAACATATAGCTGTCCACACAGTGTAGATACAAGAGACGACATCATGTAACATTAACCTCATGCTCTGAAGCTAACCTAGTTGCATTCATATTGCTTTTGCAAATGCTTTTGAGGCAGGGTGGGCACTCCTGGAAAGCCCCAGCCCCTCCTGCATTCACTGTGCTGCTTGCCATCACTGGGGCAGGCAGATGTTTTTCTGAGCACTTGAAGACCCTCACTAGCTCGCAGACTGAACCCTGTATGCTAATGTTTATGAACTTCTAAAAATTGGAGGCATGCTTCACTTTTTTTAATAGGGCTAACTTATGCAGATGTATTGGGTAAGGGCCTTACTCCTGGGGTTTTAATTGATGTGCTCTTCTGAGCCATATGCTTGTTACATGGAAGGTGTACGCTGATCAAACACTAGGAATGAAAAAAACCTGTCAAAATTAACCTCTTTCCATCCATTAATACCTTCAGACTTTACAGCACTGCCTGAACTGACAGATTTTGGCATATTAAATACAGTTTAAATGTATTTAGATGTTATGCTTCTGTGATGTTCAGTAATGCAACACAAACTGTTCCACAGCTAAATGGAAAAATCATCAACAAACTAGTTATAGGCTTTTATATTTGACGGCAATTCCAAGCTTGTTTGCAAAAAGCCAAGGATGTAAATGCTCCTTTTTTGTTAATATTCAAGACTTTGGAATTAAAAACAAATAGAAGAACCCACTAACCTGCCTCTTCAGTTCTTACTTTTTCTGAGGGTAAACTAGGTTCTCCACCTCCTATTTTGTTACTGGCAACTACACGAAACTCATATTCAACCCAAGGATTTAAATCCACTACTGTGGTTGTGAATGTTTTTCCATCGATCACGTCTGGAACTATTAAAAACAAAAAGAAAAAAAGAAATAAAGAACATGGTGTCCCTGGTGGAAAACATTTCAACAGAGCCTGTAACAAGAATTGTGTTTTACCTGTTGTAACTCGCTGCCAGCCAACTGAAAAAGGTGTCCTTGCTTGTATGGTGTAAGTGGTTACTGGGCTGTGATTGTCTGTGCCTTCTTGCCAGGAGATCTGAGCCGTGGTATCAGTTATTTCATCCACTTTCACATGTTCGGGGGGCCCAGGTGAGCCTAGAATCAGATTGAAAAATAGGCAGAGTTTTGTAAAGCCGCTACCCTGGAAATCACTAACATAGCAGTATGGATTCCCATTTTAGCAGCGCTATGGGAGGAAGAAAACAATTCAGCTTGGAATAAGAACACTTGTAATTATTGTTTTACATTCACTAAACTTCAGTCTGATAATCTATTTCTGAAATACTCTGAACTGCAGCACAGATGACAGGGGTTTTCTCTTTGGTTCCCCCCGCCCAAGAACCTTTGTTCAGCATGAACCCTCTATCTTTCCTGCATCTTTCAGTTTAGTCTTCAGTGTCCTCTTTTAATCTACTAATACATCTCTGTAGTCTGCCAGTTTGTTTTCCTCAGCTGTTTTACTGTCCGATGCACTGTAGCAATTTTTCAGCACAACATCTGATCAGCACCCCGAGCAGCAATTCAGTCAGGCAAGCTTTCTGCTGCCTTCTGGAAAATCCCGATTCTGAGCAGCCTGGCAAAAATGCTGGTTTTTGTCTCATCTGCACCAGCAAAGGGGGTTGAAATAACTCTCGTTCCCTCTCATCAGTGACTTGAAGGACTGTCAGTGAGAAAAGATGTGAAGTCAAGATTTATTATAACTTTCAGCTCTTAATTTCTCTGGGAAAAATTATGCTTCATCAAAAAATTGAGCTAAAATTCTCCCTAACTGCAAGGCAGAATCACATAATTCAAGTCACAGAGGAACTGCGTTTTGTACTCTACAACATCAGTTGTTTCTGTAATCTACAATACACAAAAGTTAGAAAATATGATTCATGGTAACTGAAGCCGAAATTTACCTCGTACGATAAGGTCCGCTGCAGATGCTACACTATCCACTTCTGTCTTCACCATACAAACATATTTTCCACTATGTTTCAGCTGGATGTTTCTAATCATTAAATCTCCTGATGCACTCTGTCAAAATACAAAGTTCTTACTAAAATAAATGTATTACCTTGTAATTTAATATTAAGATCCTATTTGTAAATGGAAAAGAAATCAACCAAAAATGTTGAAAATAAAGTTGCTCAAAAATTGCATTGGCAGACAGCCTGCAGGATAGCAAGTTATTACCCATCAGCTGCTCCATGGTAATTGTCTGTTAAGCATCTTCCTAATAAACGTGAGATAGTGTCCCTCTTTTACAGGAGAAGTAAGCTACAACGTGGTGAGCTCATACTGGGAACACACCTCCTGACTGCTATTCGCAACCATGAAGAAAGTCAGTGCCCCCTGACCAACCATTTGCCTCAAAGCCCTAAAAAAGAGAAGAACGTGGTTTCCATGGCCATTAACCACTTTGACTCCTAGACAGAATTTAGTTATCACAGATTTTTAAAGAGTTCAAATCTGTAAATGACAAAGCCGAATTTGGTCCATTCTACAGTGTGCGAGCACACTTTCATTTAAAAGTTAGTTGTACATTTTGGGCTAAATTCCCCGAATTTATAGTTCTAAGTTCTATTCTTTGTTCTTCGTTGAACAGTTAATCTTTGGGTAATTTTTTCCCATGGGTCTCTCTCATGTCATAGCATGTGGTTGATCTCCTGCATCAAGGGAAACATACATAAAACTTAAGTGAAAACTGTAACTTGTATACGATTTGATTTCTGCATCACTGAGTAGAGAACTTGGTAGCCAGTGTCACTTCAGAAAATCTCGTCTTTGTATCAGCTGAATTACTGCTTTAATGTTCACATCGTATTTTCCAGGTGAAATATCTCTTAGTCAGACTCCAATTTTACAAAGTTTTTATTTTTTTTTTAATTTTCTGGAGAAGCAGCATTTCATTTGAGGACAGAACCCTATTTTGTGGGCATTTTCAGCTACTCTAGCCACATGACTGATTCTTGGACGCGCAGTAGTTTGGGAGAACGGGGAAAACACAATCCTGGAGCTTATTTCAGTCTTCGGAAAAAAAAAATCAACAACCTTTCCAACCATTTGATTATTTTTCTTTGTTTCATGCTCACACCCATTATTTCAGCATTACCATGTCTCACTTTTTTATTCAGCACAAGCCGAAAACAATTCTGCCTGATTCCCTTCCGTGTGTGTAAACACAATGCCTCGTCTTCTGCGAAAGCACAGATGTAAGCATTTGCAGGACACTTCAGCGCCGACTGCCTACAATACGTTCGAAGTTGAGTCGAAGGCAATCTAAAATCCATCTGCTTGATTGGAAGTGGATGTTCAGGGAACAACCAACAACAGCAATGCATACTCACAAGCAAATCATGTTCTACGTGGAACTTACTTATTTTAGCCAACTACATTTAAAACATCTCGACAAAGGGGACTGTCAGATAGAATAATTTTACTTGAAATAAACCCCACCAATTAACACTGCATTTCAATTATTTGTGGATATTTTGGGGAAGAATCCCAAAGCACTGGGGAAAACAGAGAAACCTGCAGCAGCAAAAAGCTACAACACTGCAGGAACCCTCACCTCCTATGGCTCTGCAGTATCCACATTCTTGCCTAGCCAGATTAAATCTCTGTCAGCGTGGACAAGTCCAGGTGACAGTAAGATCACCTTCCTTTCTCCATGCTACACAGAATACAAATAAACCGTAGTCCATGCAGTATGAACAGCTGCTGAAATTGCTTTTGCTTCTCCTGACTGCCTAACAATCTCAGCCATTGCTGGGCTCTATAAGCAGGTGATAGCCGAAAGAGTTTAGAGGCAATCTGTTCAAAATTTTGGAATCTGCTTGGTTTGCCATACTCTTGGTACAAATCATCTGTCTAACAAAAAAAAGAGCAGTAAGACAGTGTTACATCCTATATTTTTCTAACCATCTGGAAGACCAGGTGGTGGTCCCATAACATTCCCACTAACTACTACATGTCGGAGACCTCAGGCACGCGTGACACGGACTTCGAAGGCATAGAAATCTATCCATTGAAAAAGTATTTTCCATTTGCCACATTTACGACCAAGAAAGCTGAAGTTGTTGTACAGATTTTTCATTTAACAAATACACACTGCAACCATCGGAAGGCTTAGAACATGTTTATGCTTATTTACTTAGTATTACCCACATGTAACTCCAGATGAAATTACTCCACTGACCTTAATGGGATACAAAGCCCATAAAATATTTTTGTGGATCTCTTGGTAACCCATGAAGTTTTCTACTAAGGAGCCTCAATCCCTCTTTACACAATTAAGAGTTTAAAAAAAAAAAACACCTCTAAATGTCTAAATTCCATAAAACCCCTTCATTCTGTCCCTTATGACAAATTTCCAAGTAAAATGTTCTAGATTCAGAGTTCTGAGTTAGCCAATACTCACCCTGGATTCTTCTTCAGCACTGACTGAGAATTTTTTGTGAAAAACTACTTTTTGATACTTTTTTCCTCAGAGGGGAAAAAAAAAAAAAAGACACCTAAACAAGGCTTTGATTTGGCATTATGCCTGTGTTTGTTTTAGGAAAAACCTGGAATTTTTAGTGAGAAAAAATATTGCATTTTCCAATCAGCTTATGAAGCCTTAATTGAGCCAGTAAAACTGTCAGATTCAGGTTTTGGTATGTTTTTAACCTTTCCTTTCTAATATCACTATTTGTATATACAACCAGAGTACAGCTGGGGGGAAATACTACTAAATAAATAAAGTCCATGTAGCAATACTGGAAGGTAACGGGCTATGAAATCGGAGCATTCCCATTACAGCATGACAGATGGTCAGTTTGTAATTCTCTAAACATTTCTGTGAAAATGTACATGATATATGAATATCTCATGGCTCCTACAAGGAAATCCCATCATCTCCACATGCACTTATATTTAATCAATTGCAAACTGCAGAACAATCTGTGTCTTTGGTGCCTACTGATTAAATGCTAAATCTTTCCAGGTTTTACAGGCAAAAAGAAAAAAGTTAGGTGCTGAAATGTCACAGTTTCACAGGCGGTAGTGTCTAACCCACAGCTATTCCTCTAGAGCAGGAGATCTGGCAAGACTATGTGAAAGGAAACTTTATGAAGGCTTATAATGGCAGTTTCATGCCGATGCTCAGCTGCTTGTTTTGTTATTACTTGGCCATGGCTTGCACTGTAATAAGAGCTTTTGCTGTAATTGTTTTCATTCTCTTGATACATCCTTCATCTGTCTTAATGCTTTCCTTTTCCTGTTTCAGTTAGAAGGCTAAATTCTAAAAACCATTAATGTCACCACGCCCACCACCCCACCACCCCCAGCAGCATCTCTGCATCAGGCATAGGAAATATTTAATGAGATATATGGCTTCTCACCTGCGGATGCTCAGGCAGAATGTTGAGGGGTACCACTAAGGATGCAAGCGCAGGAAAAATAAGGAAAAATGGGATGGTTTTGTTCAGCTTTAGGCTGAAGCTCACAAAGTCTGCGTCAAGTCCCTTAATCTGTCATCGCTGTGTTTCATGTGATCTTGGGGAAAATCATGCGGGGCCAGATTCAGAAACACAGGTAGGAACTTATTCAGGTCTAAAATACAAGGTGTCTGAACAATGGGTTATGGGCAGCGAGCTAGCTCAATGAATGATTTCCTTCCAACATAGAAGAAAATTCCACAGGCCCGAAACAGAAGAAACATCCTATTTTTACCATGCTAGAAAAAGACAAAAAGTAAGCCTGTCTGTGCTGCGTACATCTATAAGGCAAATGAAGAGAAGGTGTTTGCAACTTACCCCTCCAACCTTCTCAAAATGAGAACCATCTTTCTTGAAATCGGTGAGCGTTCCATTGAAATACCAGGTAAAGCTGATGTCCAGTATAGGATCATGCTGAACCTGGCAAGGCAAGACGACACTTTCTCCGACAGTGACATCCATGTTGGAAGGTGCCAAAGTAATCCTTGTTGGCTCTGTTGAAAGCAGAAATATCAGTTATTGAATTCCTGTATTGCTAAGCTGTGCTTGCTACTAATGTTCTACACGTTCTTCAAATCTGATTAATGACAGTCACTTCAAATTATGCAGCTGGACTATAAATGCTGCTGCCCGACCCCTCTTGTTGGAGCATTGTGTCCTTGCACATTTACCCGTGGGAGCTACTCGACACTGAAAAGGTAAATTTTAACCTGCTGGGGACAGGCCAATATAGTTTACAAAGCTAAATGCACTGCAACCCACAGCAATGAAATTACCATTCACGACCGTGTGTGGGTCTCGGCAGTAACACTCAGGGTTTGGAGCAGGAAGCTGCAGTAGCAGCCACTGGGAAGATTAAGAGGTGGGAGTGAGAGAAGGTGCTAATAAAATCTGAAAACGAGCAGAAATCCACACAGGGTAGAATGCACTGGATATTTGGGTCCATATATCATATAGAACATAAATAGTGTCATTAAGAACAGCTGCTTGTTATTCCAGAACCACATTAATGGAGAAAAATTTCAAAGTACTGTAAACACTGTAAAAATAAACTTTCATTCTAGAAATCCTTTCTATATAATTCTATTATTTGTATATAAAGGGACATGAATCATTTAGGAGAACAGACTGAAAATGTGAAGCTGTTAATTCACCGAACAAAATAATTCTATTTGGATCTACGAGATATATAGGATATGTAATGCAGTAGGATATTCAGTAATTCCGAGTGTGGAAAATCTTTCTGATAGTCCAATCTTTAAAAAAAGAACATCATGAGAAAAGACAATCTTCAGATAAACTCCACGGACTACTGGTCCTTTTAATCCAGTATCTTAGACAGCAGCTAGTAATGGATGACTTAGAGGGAGGGACAAGAACCCTTTTAACAACAACCATGTATACTATTTGTTTTTGAAAGACACTATACTTTACTGCCCGTGGAGTCCCCGAAGGCTCCTGCAGCTGGAGTTTCTACCACATCTTTTTCCATAAGCAAACAGCATATAGTTCCTTAGGGCTAAGCAGATTTTGGACTGGAATATAAAATTACCTCAAACATTTTTTGATTGCCATGTTTTTTTTCTGAACAAATTAAAAAAAGCCCCAAACTTAAAAGCATAATTGCACTATTTAGTATTTAGATAAGTGAGAGAAGGGAGGAAAGTGTTCAGAACTCCCTCACATCTAAGAAATATCTTTGTCAAAGACAGAAAATCCCTCAGTCTCTTTCCTCTCAGCTAATAAAACATCTATAACAAATATCCTTTTATCTTTATATATTGTCAAATATGTAACTTCTCACACTCTTTACTTTCCACCACATTTAGTATTTTTTCAACAAGCAAACTCAGACTCCACATCATTGCAGACTTCTGTTGCAGCGTTTACAATTCAATTTACACCACCTCGCAGATGACCCTCCATGCCAGCTCACCTACCTGTAACTATTAAGTTTGTTGAGCCACTGGCTGTTCCAAACTGGTTTGTTGCCAGGCATGTGTAGCTTCCAGCATCAACTTTGGTCACATTTGCTATTCTTAGTCCTCCATCCTTTAATAACATGATTCTAAAAAATTATGAAGAGATTTTAAAAGTTGCAGCATTGATTTGTAGATAAAATACTTTAATACTCATCTTGTTACCTTAGATACATCAAACTGCACCAATTACTAACCTGATGTTTGAAAAATCTGTGGCCATACACTGACAATATACAACAAATTCAAACCCATCTGTGTATTACTTACCATTTTGGACACCAGTAGAACCAATGTTTAATATATGCATGTGTGCATATGTATGTTTGTATGTTTGTGTGTGTGAGAGAGAGAAACCCCACATTAACTCCAACTTTTTCAGCTGCAGCAAATGGAACTAGAATAATTTTCAACTGTATTATGTTGTTTACCTCATGCAGTCTTGCATGGTAACTTTGAAATAACTGTGTATCATTCTTATGATGGTGCAATGGGATTTTTCAGAAACAATCCACGTTTTGCACTTTTCAGGGCTCATATATACAAGCCTAACACACGCTGCATTGAAGTCAATAGCTCATTTGCACATCTGACTCTGTAAAGCAAGATTTAGTCCATGCAAGTAGAAACTCAGTGTTTGTTTGGAAAGCAAACTGAGACTTCACGCTGTTGCAGACTTCCGTCTCAGTTTATCACCGATGCTGGGTAGGAGTGACCTGCAGACATGGCAGAGGTATGCTTTGTGGAAAGAAAATTCCCTCCACTCCAGATAAACTCCACCAGTGAGAATCATGCCTAATGGACAGATAGCACAGAACAAAACAGAAAGATGCCTATAAAAGATGTGGACAAAAGATGACTTGCATTACTGATATAGACAGATGAGCACCAGCACCCCTGCAGTAGAGATGACATCCTAGACAACAGCACTGGAAGGATGCAAAGGTAAGGCTGATTTGACTCCCTCTCTCCCTATTTCTGGTCCTCCTATCTGTCATATCCTTAGATGCAGGACCTTCTACCAAGTCTTCCCTAAGATAACCTGGAGCAGTGATATAACCAACTGTATATAAAAATGTCCAGAATAATTAACAAAAAAAAAAAAACCCAAAAACATTTTCCTGATATGCCTAGTTCTATCTCTGATCACATCAATCAATTTCAAAGGCAGCAAATGAATCACAGCACAGCTATTGTGTTGGTTCCCTAAGCACCTTAGCTAGAAGGTATTTTGGAAATGCCCAATACCCCCATCTAGCTACCGAGAATCAACAGAACAGCAAACACCAGTAAGACTCCAGGCGAACCTCTAACCGCATTAGTTGGAGTCTTACACAGTTGTCAGAGTAAGTATCAGCTGAGAAGGCAGCAAATGTCGTGAAACTTAACAGTGCTATCTTCCTTCTCTGAAGAGTCATGAGGATTTTGCCTTCTCACTTGCGTGTACTTCATTATTAACCTGCTGCTTTATTCAGTACAAAATTCATTAAATACACACCGCTCCTCTTTTTATTTTTAACATACTTGAGGCAAATGAGTATCAACAGATCTCCATCATTTGTCCCAGCTGAGATTCAGTTCTCTATAGTTAAGATGCATATTACAAAAAGCAGATGGGGAAGTCCGCTGTGTTAGGCGGGAATTAGGATCACTGCTTTTCTTCTCAAAACTTCTTCCAAAAACATGGGATAAGCAGGATGCTCACTCGATGAAAACAGGTTCCTTGCTCTTCTGGCATTCACACACTAACTAGCAGCTCAGCGTGAGCGATTCTCCGTGTGAAGCTCCACGTGCTACGGTAGCTGACGAAGGATCATGCAAGCTTGGCACTGCAGCACTGGCTGCAGGGCAGGCCTGTGAAGACTTTTAGGACTGAAGGCAGGCACGGCTAAGACACACCTGGTGGATGCACCACCTTGGATTTAACTGCATTGCCAAAATAAAAGTTGGCCCGTAAAAGGTACATGCTTCAGTAAGCTGCACTGTCATTAATTATTTAGAGTGATTTACATTATAAATAATACAGTGTTACAATGGTATTTTTTTTAAAAAGCAATTCAGCTGAATCCATATTTCAGAGAATAATTAAGTTGGTAAATAAGGGCAGCAGAACACGACTCTGGAGTCTGATGGGTTCAGCGATCTTATCCTTCACCCTTAACTCCTCTGATACTCCAAAACCATGCTCACTAACCACAGACCACGGCGGTGGGAGTCTGTCATGGCTCTGTAGTTATGCTGCTCCTTTCCCTTAACAGCAAGTTCACCTAATCCTCAAGGCCACATGAAGACTGCATTTTAAATGTCCGAAAGCGGGAACCTGGATTCCTTCCACAGCTGCACTACTCTCTACAATGAAACATACTCTAGAAATAAGCACAGCTTTAATTGTTTTTCGTAATTATTTTGATTGCATTTTATATTTTCTTAAAAGAAGGTGTTGCCACACTCAACGCCGTAGCCGAGATACATTTCCTTTGGGCAAAGGTGGTACAATAATGAAATTAACAGATGACAAGTCACCTTGTTAGAATGACAGACAAAAGCGTCTTATTTGGGGGAGAAAGAGAGTTATAAATAGACAGACAGTTTAATCAGTTTACATTTGGACGTAACCACCTTCGAATCTTCCAAAGTATGAGGTACCGAAGCCAATGGGGTGGCGTTTGAAGCACATTCGTAAGGAGGATGTGCTTCCTTAGCGTCAGCACAGCTGACCTCCCTGAGGCTTATTAACTTGTTTTGGAAGATTCATAAGCAATACCTGGCTGCACTTTATATTAGATGGAACGTTTATAATTAATTAAATCTTACCATATGGTTTATAGATATTTAAAATGTGTTAAAGACATGATTAATACATTTTATAGGTAATTTTAACGACATCAATAAAAGGTGTTAAATATATCAATTATGGCTGCAAGCAAGCTATTGAATTGTTGGACTTTCTAGCTATCTGTATATTTTGCAAAGGCTTGTATTGCATCATCTACTTTGAAGCAGTTTCCAGTAGAAAAAATGCAAAACCAAATAAAAACCCAACAGTATTGACAAAGCTTGAGATCAAACAAAGGAAAAGATAGGATTGGGGTATAAACCAGAAAATATCTATTGTTTAATTTTAAAAAAATCTCATTTAGAGTGCTCTGAGCTACCTGTGAGTCTAGCTTGCCTAAAATAATTAAGCAATGGGCTTATTAAAACCAATATATAATTAAGAATCAAGTTGTTTTTCCAGAATTACAAAAAAGAAAAACAACAACAAATCAATTCTAGGAAAAAAAAAAAAAATCTTTACTGGTAAATTAAAAAGAGAAACGCTTTACTTTTTCAATTACAAAACAGTAAATGCAGTGCAGCCTGTGAAAACACTAAACCCAGAAATAGCCCTATGCCTCCTCCTGAAACATTAGACAAACTGAAGCTTTTAGTATATTTAAAATTGTTAGATATTCACACACTGTGATAAAACAAATGCACTATGGCTGGCCTGCTGCCAGGAAGCGATCTAGATCTTGAACACAAAAAAATAACACATCCTTTGGCGTTCCCTGTATCTACAAGCATTTTTGCAATACATTTTGCTGAAGGCCAGCAATTTTCAAAGTGAATTCCATTTTCAACAACCTACACACTTTTGATACACTAGCAAATGGCAGAAACTTTTAGCCCTGTAAAATAGAGATAATTGGCAGATTAATGCTTTGGCACATATCCACTTGCACAACTGGAGACTGATTTAGGACCTGTTTGGTCATAAGATCAAAACATCACTGACAAAATCATTTCTCGCTAACTCTTGAGCAAAATTGTAGGAAATTAATCTTTGAGAAGATTCTTTTTTTCCAATAGTCAAAGGGATGGCATTACAAAACCCCAACTAAACAAACCTACAACAGCCAAATGTCTTAACTTACACCCATGCTCTTTGACTAAGGTAAACAGAATGGGGAGAGGATTAACCAACTTCAGAACTTCAGGGTTCGAGAGACTCATGTTGGTAAAATTATGAGTCTTTCCATCCCACCCACACTAGGAGCATGTATTTGGCATTACAGATCTTCCAGACAGTTGAGGGACTTCAGTAGGGTTAGTCTCCATCAATTCTGCCTAGTCTGTCAGGTTTTATATGTGATGTTACAATATGTTGTTATCTCAGTCATAACTGACCGTGGAGAACTCCAATTATGAAATGATCGCATGTACTTTCCATACTGATAAAGTATTTTACTATCATTACAGACTGCACCAAATTTTCGTATTTTCAGATATTGAAACAAGTATCACCTGGGACTGGAGAGCAAGCGGTGCTCCAGGATGCCCATGTGAGAACTGCCAACTTCAGTGTCTGTAGTGTAAGAATATTCAAGCTATTCTGCATTCACTGTCCCCATACCTACCTGCTCAGAGAACTGGGACAGTGTTATCTTACTGATCAAAACCCTATCAAATTGAAATGTTGGTGCAGTACAACCATATACACGCGACTAAGGGCCAGAATATGCCTCAGGATCCAAGACCACAAGGCTGCGAACTAAAATTTAGTGTCATTAATAGAACTGTTAATGAATGCAAATTTGCTCATCTTCCTGTGGCAATACTTTATTACTAAAATAACAGACATAATCAAACTAAGTAATCACTTCCTTTTTTGTCAGATTATTCGCAGAAAAGCCAACTATTTTATATCCTTATTGATATGATAATAAACATATTGCTTTCCAGTTCATAACACTTCAGTACAAAGGAACAGTGGAAAAGTCGGTCAAAACTACCTTTTTATATATCAATCAAATTCCAACTAAATTAAAACAGATTAATTAACAACAAAGCAAAAAAAAAGAGCTCCTATTGAAGTACTGGTAAGTAAATGCATTACTTTCCACATCACAGCATTTCAAACTGTAACGCAAAATGAAGTAAAAATACTTAATTCAAACTGTAGGGAAGATAAAACCAGTAACTGATACTTCTAAGAATCATGCAACATTTTATCAGGAACTATTTCTCCTCTTTTCTTTCCCCCTTAATTTACCATCACTTCGCCACAGTTCAAGATGCTGAAACTGGAGATTTTAAAGAGAATTGT